AGAGAGGCAGATTTATTAGAGAAAGAAGGAAAAGACATTGCAAGAAGGTGACAGGCAGGCCAGTGAAGAGAAGCTGACTGAAAGGAAACAAAGGATTGCTGGAGATTTTATAAAACGGTCTATGGGATTTGCTGGAGAGCTTTGTGCAGTACCAATAATGCCAAGGCTTCAGTGAGCTAACTTGTAGGTGTCTGTTCATAAGTTTAGCACAGGAGATGTTTAGTACATGTTCTGGACCCTGAAGAAAAGCAGACTTTAGCTTATCTGTTTTTTTTTTTTGCTTCCCGTTGCTCCCACCAGCATGACTTCCTTTTTCTAAATAGGACTCCACATTTACCCCGTGACAGAGCAACAATGACAGATCTTTGGCATGTGGAGGAAGGTCTCATCTTCCAACTGCTTCCTGCTGACCAGGTTGTAGAGCTGGCCCTACTTAGGATTATTACGAGAAGTATTATTGTAAGATAATATCGTAAGATTATTATGAGAAGTTACGCAGGTTATTGTTTTGGATTGTGGGACGTAGGATATTGGACCTTACTGGAAGAAGGGACTCATTAGAGGGGGGATTATGTTAAGATGAAACTGGTGTTCAGCCGAATCCTGGGGATATTCGTAAAGGTAGCAGCCATTATTGGGGAGAGATTGCTATGTCATTTGCAGCATAATTTGAAGGTGAAACTTATGAACTCTAGAAGATAAAAGTTTGGGGTTTTTTTAAAGCCAGTTCCAAAAAGGCAAAGAAAGACCTTTTGCAGTGTGACTTTTTTCTGATGGATGTCCATTTAGTTAACTTGGAAGTTAAACTTGATGAAAAAGTGTTTGAATTTAATTAGACACAGGAAGAATGTGTTTAGAGTTAGGAGGTTATGAGTATAGCGGGGAACGCATGACTCACAGGAACAGCATGAGATGTTTTTGATTACATTCAGAATTTAGATAAATATCAAGAAAAGCCAGGAGTACAGAATTATGTTAGAGGAAAACATTGGTTAATGTTGACCTTCAAGATGAAACAGTTTAGCATTAGGCCACAATAACAGGACTGAAGGAAAAAGTTACAGGAGCTGACAAAGACTAAAGAAGAGAGTTACTATCCTAAGCCTTTTCCAGGGGAGAAAAAGCCGAAGGCAGTGGGACACAGCAAACGTTGAACTTCAGAGATATGATTCTGAGGAGTTTTTTTAATTTAATTTTTATAAAATTCTAAGTAAAACGTGTTGCAGTTTTATTAAGAGCAGATTAATACCTTAAGAAAACCTTATTTTAACATTGAGGATTAGTGTTATAAAGACTATACAAAATTCCTTTTATAGATTCTCCTTCATGAACTTTTTCATGACTTACACAGGCCATTTACGACATGCTTGGACTTTCTGGCTTGTTCTAAACACCTTTTTTGTTTGTTTGTTTTTTACAACTGGTTACCTTACTTTAAGATAAGAATTTACCATTACAAGATTCTTTCTCCTATAAAATTTCTTTTTATAACTTTCCTTAATAAAAATACTTCTTTTCCTTTTCTTCTTTAACTTTCAGTGGGTTTTCAATGTTTACATATTAGTTGGGCCATAAATAATGAGTCTTGTCTTAGTAACAGCAGATTTAAAGCAGTCAGGAAACAAAGAGGGGAAGAGAGCTTTAGAAGACTCTATTTTAAACTCTACATTGCAGGTTAACCATTTGAGCTCTGAATTTCTCTTGTAGCTTGCCCATCAGTTTAAAACGTGCACAAAAATGGACCATAATATGCAACCAGCTGGAGTTTTAAAGAGAATAACAAAATTAGAGGTTAGGATGCTAGATACTTTTTCTCTTTTGAGGCTAGACCACTTGACTGAACAGATAAAGAGGAAAAGAGAAGAAAGGAATGGGCCGGGCATGGTGGCTTAAATTCCACCATTTCATAGTGGCACCTGAAATTCCAGCATTTTGGGAGGTGGTGGCAGGTGGATCACTTGAGGCCAGGAGTTTCAGACCAGGCTGGCCAACATGATGAAACCCCGTCTCTACTAAAAATAAAAAAGATTAGCTAGATGTGGTGGTGCATGCCTGTAATCCCAGCTATTTGGGAGGCTGAGGCACAAGAATGGCTTGAACCCAGGAGGCAGAGGCTGCAGTGAGGCAGAGGCTGCAGTGAACCAAGATGGTGCCACTGCACTCCATTTTGGGCAACAGAGGAAGACTCTGTTTAAAAAGAAAGGAAAAGAGAAGAAAGGAATGGAGAGGAAAGAGTTAAGCTTTACAGGAGGGCTTATAAGTCATCCAGCCATTGCACGGTGTGGGGCCAGCCCCTTTACTATTTTCCTTTATTGCTTTATCCCCTCAGTCAGGGAGAGCCTTGGCACTCCAGACCTACGTGGTGTGAGATGAATTTTTCCTGCCTCCTGAAGCCACCACTTAATAAGGTGAGCTGTTTTCAGCCAGAGCAGAGAGCCCCTTCAGCTCAAGGCTTTCAGGGGTTGGGATTCCATCCCGGGAGCCCTTTGGTCCTTGGACCTCGGCAGTGGCAGAGGATACAAGTTGGGTGGGACTTTTTGTGTTTATCTCACTGGGGGCCGTTTGCCTTCGAGTATCCTGGCCTTCTCCACTGGTAGCAGTCATTTGGAGGAGTATCTTCAGGGAAACCTGGAGGGGGCTGGGGGCTTTGCAACAGCCAACAGTTCAGCCTGCCTCTGCCTCTTGTTTCTGTGTTTTTCTTTCTTTTCTTCTTTTTTTTTTCCCCTTGTCCTCCTTATTCTGCTTTTGATTATAAAAGACTGAAGAAGCAAATTTGTTGATTTTCTGCATAGGAGCCATGCTGTATTACACAAGAAAGTTAGACATTTCTTTCTGAGGATTGAGGGGTTGAATTCATTCCAGTTTTTAAAAAATACAGGCTAAAGGTGAGTCTGCAGGAATAGATGGGGTTTGTTCCACAGTGAGACTGGAAAATGCGCCACTCAGGGCTAATTGAACCGCACTTTTTCTTAGGGCATTCTGCCAATGAAGAGGGTTATGCTCATGTCTACTGAGGGACTCTAAGACTATCAGAATAAATTAACAAAGATCTAACTGTATGCTACACAAGAGATGCACTTTAAATATAAAGAGTAAGGTTGAAATTGAATGGATGGCCAAGTAAGCAAGTAGCAGGCATCTGAAAACTTGGTGACTATGTGTGAAATGTCCCATAAATTAGCTCTTAGGACGAGCAGATAAAGAGGGTGTTTGGTTTTGATGCTTATATTAATTAATTTTGCCCTGAATGTAGCAAAAAGATTTTGGATCAGGAATTTCTTCCTGTTTACCTGACAGCAAATAACCAGTGGGCAATTCCCAGGTCCCAGTTCTTACCTATGGTGCGGTGCAGTGCAGTGCAGTGCAGGCAGGGTCTGATGTCCTTCATCAGCAAAGCCTGTATTGTAGATTAGGAAAGTAAATGTTCTGTGCTTTTTGTAAAAGGGAAAAAGGCAGTTGTCTCCCCTTACCTTTCTGAGAGTCTTTAAAGAAAGATAGCAGTATCTTTCTTTAATCTTTTCATAATGTACATAAATCTGTGTATGGAAAAGATGAGCCCATTGTCTTCAGTTTTACAAGTCAGAAATGTCTCCTGGTTCTGGGGCCTTAAACACTTTGAAATGTAAACATGCACGTCCAGGGTTCAGGAAACCTCTCTGGAGTTCACACTCTGTACACCTTTGCTCCTAAGGTTTACTTTTAGTCAAGAATCCCAAATTTCAGTAGAATTTTTCCTGAAAGTCCTAACTGTGCAGAAAACTAAAAGTATTTTCTCTACAGTCTCACAGAAGGACATTTCATTGTGAAAATGAGTCAGTTTGTCAGCAAGCCATAATAGTCATTAATTTGTCTGTGCCCAATAACAGAACTTCAAAATACATGAAAGCAAAGAGAGAGAGAGAGAGAGTTAATGGGAGAAATAAACAGTTCCATAATCATAATGGGAGGTTTTAATATCTCCTGAGCAATTGATAGAGCAAGTAGATTTTTAAAAATCAGCAAAGATAGATCGGGCGCAGTGGCTCACGCTAGTAATCCTAGCACTCCGGGAGACCAAAGCCAGTGGATCACCTGAGGTCATTTATTCAAGACCAGCCTGCCCAACATGGTGAAACCCCGTCTCTACTAAAAATAAAAAAAATTAGCCTGGTGCGGTGGCGGGAGCTTGTAATCCCAGCTACTCAGGAGGCTGAGGTGGGAGAATTGTGTGAACCCAGGAGGGGGAGGTTACAGTGAGCCAAGATGGTGCCATTGCACTGCAGCCTGGGAGACAAGAGCAAACTCCGTCTCAAAAAAAAAAAAAAAAAAAAAAAAAAATCAGCAAAGGTTGGAAAGATCTTAACACTATGAGCTACATTATTTAAGAATGTTGCATACTTCTCTTGGGAAAGACTACCAGCAATGAATAAGAATACCTGTTTTGTTTGCTCTTAGCAGCCTTGGGACTTAATTCTTTTTCTGTAGTAGTCTTTTTTAATCTGTAAAGAAAACCACAGTACTTGTTTTTATTTGCATTTCATTAATCACTGAGTGATTGAATTTTTTTTTTTTGCATATGCTTATCATTTTCTTTTGTATGAGGAGGTTAATAATTTGGGGTGTAGTTATGTATTATGCTTATTGTTGATTTATAGCTTATATTGTATGTATTTCCCCTTTGTCATTAATTTTTAAACCATCTTTCTGATGTTCTTTATCTTATAGAAGTTGAAATATTTGTATAGTTAAATTCATCCGTTTTTTATTTTCTGTTTTTTTTTTAAATTTTTTGATTTCTGCAAGTTGTTTTTGTGATTCTGCTTATGAGTTATAGTCTAGCTAGGATATTATCTCATTTTTTAAAAAGTAACCTTATAAAAACCAAGGTAGACTCCAACCAGTGATGCACTGAGGAAAGTCACTTTTGTCTGTTATGTGTGTATAATTTAGACTTTAAAGTATTTATTACAACATTGTCCCATTCTTGTGCAATTAAAATCATGTCTTCTTTTGGATCTCAGATCATTCATAATTTCATAAGACGGATCCAGACCAAAATTAAAGATCTTCTACAGCAAATGGAAGAAGGGCTGAAGACAGCTGATCCCCATGACTGCTCTGCTTATACTGGCTGGACAGGTGAGACTGTGGGGTCTAAGTCACTGATTCTTAGATTATGAGATATAAGACCTGACTTTGAAATTTTCTTTTTTTTTAAAATGTTAAAGATTTGGCTGGGCATGGTGGCTGACACATGTAATCCCAGCACTTTGGGAGGCCAAGGCAGGCAGATCACCTGAGGTCAGGGGTTCGAGACCAGTCTGGCCAACATGGTGAAACCCCATCTCTACAAAAAATACAAAAATTAGCCAGACATGGTGGTCGGAACCTGTAATCTCAGCTACTTGGGAGGCTGAGGCAGGAGAATCGCTTGAACCCAGGAAGCAGAGGTTGCAGTGAGCCAGGATTGTGCCATTGCTGCCTGGGCCACAGAGCAAGGCTCCATCTCAAATAAAATAAAATAAAATGGTAAAGATTTTATACCTTTTTTTTTTTGAGACAGAGTCTCACTCTGTTGCCAGGGCTAGAGTATAGTGGTGCAGTCACAACTCTTTGCAGCCTTGACCTCCTGGGTTCCAGCCATCCTCTTGCCTCAGCCTCCTATGTAGATGGGACCACAGGCACGTGCCACCTCACCTGGCTAATTTTTTTATGTTTTTGTAAAGACAGAGTCTCACTATGTTGCCCAGGTTGGTCTCAAATTCCTGGGCTCAAGAGATCCTCCTGCCTCAGCCTCCCGAAGTGCCAGGATTACGGGCGTGAGCCACCATGCCTGACTGATTTTATGCCTTTTAATTGAAGTCTTGGTCTGTGTCATCAATGATGGATTATTTGGAATTTTATTTCTAAAGAAATGGCTTTCTGCCTGAAGTTTGAACTTTTATATCTAGTGTGTTATGTATATTTTTATATAAATAAATAACACTAGGTTATTTATTTAACCTAATATATAGCTGTCTGTGAAAATGTGTAACTGTCAAGAGCAAACTTGCCCTAGGGTCAGTTTTAAAGCATTCTTTGCTGCATGGTCATTGTGACAGGCTGTGGTGAGTGGTCTCTCTGTTCTGTGATATAAACTATCTACCCTACTACCTGTACTTATTTGATTCATTTGTGCACATAATTTTTTTTTATTTTAATGATAAAAGTTAACCAGTAATACACCTCACATCAAAAAGTGTAATTAAAAAATTAACTTGCTTTAACTAACCTTTGCATTCTTATTATTTTACCAGGTACCCAGAATATTTTAATAACTGTTTGGGTAGTAGAAAGAATATAAAAGATGACCTTGTTCTCAGGGATTAGACAGAAGTCTGACTAAATTCCTAAAGACAATTTATATACACATTTAGAGTGATTTCTTGCTGGATTCTTATAGTTTAATTGATAAACAGCATAGACCGGGGTGGTGGCTCAAGCCTGTAATCCAGAGCACTTTGGGAGGCAAAGAGGGCAGATCACTTGAGACCAGCCTGGGCAACATGGTAAAACCTGTCTCTACTAAAAATACAAAAATTAGCTGGGTGTGGTGGCGTGTGCTTATAGTTCCAGCTACTGGTAAGGCTGGCTTATAAACACAGTAGGATAGCCGGGCGCGGTGGCTCACGCCTGTAATCCCAGCACTTTGGGAGGCCGAGGCGGGTGGATCACGAGGTCAAGAGATC